TCCGGTCGTGTTGGTCGAGTGGTTAAGGGATCCTATACATCAGATGCAGTGCTTCTGGCAGTATGGGTTCGAATCACTTCTGGGGTGTGAGTTTTCAGTTGCATATATGCTTGGAGACCGATCAGGCTTGTTTGCACATATCACACACACACGAAGCTGCAAATTACAATCGAGGCAAAATGTGATTGATGAACCGTGTTCGAAGATCGTCTGCGTGTGTAGCAGACGATCTTAGACCTTCTATTCCTAACCAAATGTTCCACATCTACACCCACAGAACGACACACTCATCCCCCCCCCCCCCAACAACACAAAAACATCTACCAATCAACACTTCCCAATCCTTCAACACCAATCTCTTCACGTACTGCTATAACCATAGAGCATATAAAAAGGTGCTTTAATCCTCCCCTCAGCGGCTGAGTATTCAATAACTCTCCCATTGGTCCTCAATATGGGTTACCTTGAGGTGCTTCCGGGGCTTAGCGTCCCAGCGGCCCGGTCGACGACCAGGCCTCCTGGTTGCTGGACTGATCAACCAGGCTGTTAGACGGCTGGGTGCTCAATAGGCATACCCATTACGCATGCGTAGTGCGTAATGGGTATAGGCTTATCGCACGTGCGTAATGAATAGGCCTATCACGCATGCGCAATGACGTCGCACTACTTGAAATTGTTATTAAATACAGCTAATAGGAAAAAAAAGGCTAAAATAGAGAAATGAGAAATAATAACCAAGAAAGATATAATTTTGCAAATCCATATATACAATAGAATGCTGGAGGAAGGGGAGGAAGAGAGGAATGGAAGGGGGAATGGAAGGAGATTGGGAAGATTGGTGAAACAGGAAAGAATATAAGGGGAAAAGGAGACCTGGGTGCAGCCGGATATCCCATCTAGTAAAATAAAAATAGAATTATTAATAAAAGATTAGTATTATTTAATACGCTGCGACAGACAGATTATTTGACCAAACTCTCTCTCTCGAGATGAGTAATTGGCAGTACGTTGGGTCATCAATTTTAGGACGTCACCTGCATTCTCTCCTGACGTCACCTGCATTCTCTCCTGACGTCACCTGCATTCTCTCCTGACGTCACCTGCATTCTCTCCTGACGTCACCTGCATTCTCTCCTGACGTCACCTGCATTCTCTCCTGACGTCACCTGCATTCTCTCCTGACGTCACCTGCATTCTCTCCTGACGTCACCTGCATTCTCTCCTGACGTCACCTGCATTCTCTCCTGACGTCACCTGCATTCTCTCCTGACGTCACTTGCATTCTCTCCTGACGTCACCTGCATTCTCTCCTGACGTCACCTGCATTCTCTCCTGACGTCACCTGCATTCTCTCCTGACGTCACCTGCATTCTCTCCTGACGTCACCTGCATTCTCTCCCGACGTCACCTGTATTCTCTCCTGACGTCACCTGCATTCTCTCCTGACGTCACCTGCATTCTCTCCTGACGTCACCTGCCTTCTCTCGCGACGTCACCCGAATCCTCTCAGGTGTTACCTTGAAACGTCACATTCTTCTGCAGAACTGACCAATCAGGTAACAATTATAGCAACATATTACTATAAATTATAGGCTCGTGACACTATGACGTTTCCTACGCATCGGCTTTAATAGGTTAGGTTAGGTGGGTTGCTTGGGTTCGCACGTTCAGGTTAGGTAAAACAGCTGCATTTTTACTGACTGGCAAATTAGGAGGACAAGGTGTTGTTGTTGTTGTTTTTGTTAATGTGTGTGCGTGTTTACTATTTATGCCTGCAGAATCGAGCTATTAGCTGTGTGTGTGTGTGTGTGTGTGTGTGTGTATGTGTGTGTGTGTGTGTGTGTGTGTGTGTGTGTGTGTGTGTGTGTGTGTGTGTGTGTGTGTGTGTGTGTGTGTGTGTGTGTGTGTAAGTGTGTGAGTGTGTGTGTGTGTGTATGTGTGTGTGTGTGTCTCACCTTTCCAGTCCATATCCCACACCCCAATCCAGTCCCCCCTTCCCCCCGTTACAGTGGAGCAGCAGATAAGGCACTTCAATACCGGCCGGATGCCGCCCACACGTCTCTACACGTTCTCACGGCCCTCATCTGTTCTCAAGTTTGGTGTCGTCTCGTTCGCACAAGTTTATCGCTATACTCTAATCTGTTATTCTTTTACTTCCGTCAACACACACACACTCAGTTATTTACATACCCGCCCTCACCCTCATCCAGGAGCCGGTTAGCCGAGCGGACAGCACGCTGGACTTGTGATCCTGTGGTCCTGGGTTCGATCCTAGGCGCCGGCGAGAAACAATGGGCAGAGTTTCTTTCACCCTATGCCCCTTTTACCTAGCAGTAAAACAGGTACCTGGGTGTTAGTCAGCTGTCACAGGCTGCTTCCTGGGGGTGGAGGCCTGGTCGAGGACCGGGCCGCGGGGACACTAAAGCCCCGAAATCAACTCAAGATAACCTCAAGATAACCACTTTTCAATTACACAAACTTTTGTAACGCCATCTATTGTGAGTTGTGTATGAAGAACTTATTATTCAAAAACAGAGAAAGCAGCAGCTGGATTGAAGACATTTTTTGTCAATAAATAATGATTTTTAGTACAGTTAGGACTATGGTAAATTAGGTGCTTTGATTCTGTTGGCA